ATAATTTAAACAATATACTCATTTCCGTATAAAGGACAGTCTGTTTTGTACAACGAAATCATGTACAATCTGGAGGATAAATGCTGTGCATCTGTTGCCTCGTTTCTAAGGATAGTGTAAAACTATCTGTGGAACCTTTACAGAAGAATTCAATTAACTGGCGATGCTATATGCTCCAACCCACTCTACAATGTAAGTACTGTATTTAAATGCCTGCTGACAGGTTATTCATAAGGCCAAACCAAACATCTACAGTCAGTCCTGTGATAGATGTTGTTTTGCATGGCTACACTTCAAACTCAGACTTTTGAGTTAGCAATTTAAACAGTCACAATGCACAATGACCTTTTTAACATCTGCTATCAATCCTAACCGATCAAATATACAGGTCTCGCCTTTGAATACCAGTGATTATATACATGAAATATACTTTACAAGGTGAAGGTTAGGACCTTTTCTTCCAAATCAGCTCTGCCAGTCACTAACAGGTTTGGTCCTGTCACTTTGGAGCTCTAGCACCTTTATTTGAAGTAGTTGAGTCCTGCCACTAAGAAGAACTTCTCCAGGAAAAGCTCAGAGTCCAAGACAGCGATGTGGGCTGCTCGGCCAATCAGGGTGTTGGCTGTGTTGGGCAGGGCATGAAACACATTCTGGCGGATCAGCCGGCACTCTTTGGCCTCCACAAGTGGCTGCAGGAGGTTGTTGATCATCTCAGTGTACACGGGTCCTTTAGAGCCAGAATGAGGAAAGTTACAGAGAGTCCTAGTTTACATGAAAGATCTTTTGAATTCAAATATAGGGATAAGTTATTCTTAATCAAAATTGTTTTGCAACAAAAGTAGCTCAACAGCAAATTGGCACCCACATTCTTATTATTTTCTTTGTTATATTTGTATTTCACACGGCTGACCACACAAACTGTTAACCTTTGTTGTTCTTTGATAGTTTGACATTTTGGGGAATATGTTTTTTTTAGAGTTATCATTACATCCAGCCAAGAAATACTTTAGTCCAGCACTTTACCATCCATAAAACCACAACTTTTGAGTTGTATAATGTTTATTTATGGATGAGATGAACAAGATATAATGTCTTAATTTAGCACTAATGGTGCTGGCAAGTACATTTTTTACACAAAGTCAGACTGGCTGTTATCCCCGGATTCCAGCCTTAATCCTAAACTAACTAGCTGATGGCTGTGGCTTCATTTTCACTGGAGTGGAAGTGGGGAATTTCTTAAGAAGCCAAACAATTCCTTTTGCAAAACCACAATTACCAGAAAGATAATTTTCTGATCAGAAGCTGTGATCTTTGCTTGCCTTGCAGATTCATTGTATCCATTCATCATATGGATGACTTGGTGTGTGTCTTCATCACATGAGTTCCAATGAAATCCCAATCTAGCTACAAGGACAAATTATGTTGTAATTAGCTTTTTTTTGTTCTCTACCCTCATGTCTTTTATTACTTCCTTTTTTTTAGGCATCAAGAAAACTTTGTAAAGTAAATCTTTATATTTGTAGTGGATTCTAACAAACGTAAAAACTGAACTTTATGAACCATGGAAAGATGGTGGACAGATTGTATCCAGACCAAGTCCAACTCTTTCATTCCATGCAAACACTGTTAACAGTCCGTCTAGTTTCTTTAACCATATGAATGGAACTAAACAGCAATGCTTTTTGTAGATGTTTTAGGTCCAGGTGACAAGTTGGCTCATCTGTTAACAACGCCTCTTTTGCACTATACAAGCCATGGATGACCAAAGCCTGCTTAAAATGTGATTGGTCAAATTAGAAACAGAAACCAGAGGGCCCCAAAATCTTTTCCCCTCACCTACAGATTCTGTATATTCACATGTGATATATATTTATCAAGATTATAGAGGGCCAAACAGGCTGTTGATGGATTCACTTATACTCTAGTTAAGAGGCGATTTGTAGTTACAGCTGAATATAACACTTATAGTCAGCATAAGTATATATATATATATTTAATGATTGAATACACATTATGGGCACAGGTAGAAAAGTGAGATTATCATTCCAAAATTATTAAGAAACTCCCAATAAACTAATCAATACAACATTATTATACAGTATGCATTCCTGACCTGTGGTTCTGTCTTTGAGAGCAGTTTTGCACATCTCTATTCTTGCAGAGTGGAAAGGAACATAACGGTCCTGTGGAGATGCCACCAACACCACATTCTTGAAGAACTGGAGCCCTAAAAGGACGCAAAACAAACAGGTAAACGAGACTGCAGTGCGTGACTGTGTGCGTGTGAGAGAGGTGAAGGCAGATGAAATAAGCGAATTGGTTGTAAAATGCAAAGTACAGTCACAAAATACAATGACAGGCTTGATAAAACGGTTTTTTTTCTCTAGTCTCCTGTCAGTGTGCTTTTAAGAGAGTGCACTGGTGGGTTTCAAATGACAGGGTTTGGATCATTTTGTCAGCCTGCCACAGCTCTGGAGGGGGAAAAAAGCATTTTAAGGCTTATCTTCTTCAAGCCTGTGTGACAAACGACTGCTTTGTTCCACTCACACAGTGGGGAGGCCTCTCACAGGCCTCTCACTGTTCGCTGGCAGGGGTTTGAGTGTTAGCTAGCTGATGTAAAAAAGACAAGATGCCAACATTTTTATGAATATTTAAATAGACTGTCTTTCAGGTAATTGTTTGTAAAGTGAGACAGTCAATACAGTAACTCTGCACCTAATTTACCTGGTTTCTGACTCAGGAGATAGAGGAATGTTTTCCTTGGATCAACATGATCTCTGAAGGTGAGCTGCAGCAAGGATCCTGATTTCTTCAGCTTCTGCATTAACCACAGACCTAAGCAACACACATAGCACACATAGCACACATAGCACACACACACACACACACACACACACACACACAGATTATAAGGCTTCTTGCTTTTTAAACACCAAGCACACTGAGCAGTATGGATGGTATTCTTAGATAAGAGACCACACAACATCAAAATGCTATACTATCCATCTGCACTGTGTGTTTTTTTTGCCCAGAGCTGAGCAGAGGCCTCACCTGTGCTGACCAACGTGCTGTTGTTGTAGAGCGTTCCCAAGTGTGGGCCTGACAGCGAGAGGAAAGTGTGCAGTTTGGGCAAATAGCAGCGGAACCGCGGCCTCGTCAGCACTGAGCGGATGATGATGTTCCCCAGAGAGTGGCCGATGAAACTGTTGGAGGAAGACAAACAACTTTCACTGAGATAAACTTGCAACTTGAGTGGGTGGCTGGAAAAACAGTGCCTCCAACGCTGCTGACCTCTGACACCGTGCAATGTCTTATTATAGACTCAGCTGGAAGTAGAAGAAGGGCAGCAGTTCCAATGAATGCTATTTGAAGATTTTGGCTGCAGCATTGGTAATTACAGAAAATTCATTAACTTGTTAACTGCTTGAACATCCTCAAAGGCAATCACAACTTAATGATGCTAACATAGAGGACATACAATACGAATTAATAACATTTCCCCAGCAGTGGGAATGATTAGATTCATGACGCTATGTCTGTCACTTAGTTTAATTACTGTATTGATACTGCTCAACCCAAAATCCCTCATCGCCATGCCTGCTCCTTCTCATCTGTCTCCTACCAAACTAAATATAGAGGTAATATGGAAAGAACCAGATGCTGCTGTGGCACTCCATTGCTTTTGTCTTTGATTCTTACTCTCTTGAGACTACGTTACAATAAAGAAAGTTAACAAACTTGGGCAGACAAAAACAAAAAAAATAAATTGGCACATTGAGGGCAATTAAGTGGGAAGATAAATGACTTAATTTAATGGGAACTAGGCGACAGAGTGCTGCATAAAGGAGAATAATCTATCAAGTGAAAGTCAGAAACTTATTGGCACTGTATGATAAGACCTTTTTCATCAATTTTGTGTCACTTATCCATTTTGACTTGGTACAGTGTATTTATTATCACGGCACAGTGACTCCTTTAAGTGAAGGCAATCAATGCCGAGCACAAGTATCAATGTAAAGACTATGCTGCCATCTACTGACCAAACTAAAGGCTGCTCAAATTGATGATTGTCCCTGCTCTGACTTTGCCTCAAATCAAATCAATCCAAATCAATCCAAAGGACAGTTGTCAGGAAAGTGTATTTTGCACGGTATTAAAGTGGAGCAGCTGACCTTATCCTGCCAATGGTGAGATTGTACAGCTGGATATGCTGAATGATCTCATCCAGCAACCTGTCCGTCATGGTGTCGAAATCTGCAAAGGTGTCAGTCTGCGGGGAAACGGCAGAAGAAAAGTGCAGCTGTCAGCACTCCACAAATTGCCTTAAAGCACTTTCACAGTATGTGACGGTACATGTTCTCAATTTGCTCCTATGGCTGTCATCTACAAATGTACCTGGTTCCTCTCAGACATAAGGAAGTCGAGCCTGGACCCCGGCAGCCCTAACTCAATGAAAGTCTTCACCAGACGAAGGTCTGCGCTGTTTCCTGGAAGCAAAAAATAAATTATTCACACAAACTTTCTGGCTCAGCTCTTATGAAGGATAACCATTGATCATTTAACAGACACCTGGAATATGTTTGAAGAAATCAGGCTATACAGTGCAATGTATTTTAGGTTTTTGGGACATACACTCAGAGACTAAATTACCTGTAGAATGCTAATTAGGACATGGAAATCTTAAAAAGGATTTACCGTATGCTGCAGATGTGTCAGTTTAATACCTTTTACGTTTGTGCGGTTATACTGTGTATAGACTCACCGTCAAGCCCGTGGACACACACCACAAGGTGTATGCCATCATCAAACTCCTCATCGTCCTCCTCGGGGGGAAAGTAGGGCAGATCTGATGCCAGGAGAGGAAGGTCGCTGTACAAGCTGGCCTGAAAACTCAACTCTGTGAACAGCTCCTCTTTGGCCTTGTAGAAACTTGAGAGATTCAGGAAAGAAAAAAGAAAAGAGGGAAGAAAAGAGATATTATACCCTGGGCATTAGCAATAAATTGAAAACTAATTCTCCAGTAATGTGCACACTCATAAACATTTTCCTATAGCTTTCTCCCTTAAGTCCATAATATGATGGAAAATATTTTTAAATATTTCATTTCAGTACACAATGACCCCAACCAAGGCTTAAGACCAAATGTCTCAGAGTTACAAGAAGCTTCACTATAGGTTTTATCATCCCGTCATCCAACCAGGTTGTAGAATTTAGCAGTGCAGGAGTAAAAAACAAATCCGATTCCAGTTCCTGTACTTTCAGCTAATCATGATGGATTTGCCTGCACACTCTTTGATGTGATTTAATACATTCAGGAGGCATTTCACCTCATCTTGACTTCCTCACTTCAAATTTGCCCACATTTTGTTATGCTAGGCTTTCCAAGCATGAGTAACTCCCAGCTACTTCAGCAGATGTCAACAGCCGTCTCTGCATACCCATAAAACCTTGTGTTTTGACCTTGATTCCAGTAGTTGGATTGGATTATAATGTTACTCCTCCAAAGTTTTTCTTGGAAGACAGCCTGCATTTTCATTTTCACACATTATTCATTGACATCCAGGTCAGAGTGGTATTATTCTCACCTGCCTGAACAGTTATAACAAACACATTTGAACATGCTTGAGAAAGTCCTACTGATTACACACAAACTATTCTATTTTAGGTTAAAAAAAAATCTTTTAAATATCCAGTCAATAATTTTAACATAATAAAATTACATTTGCAAATGGATCTGTCCAAATCTGCGATAGCCATCTTGGTTTTTAAATTAAATTCTTCAGCGGTGCCCCATTTGTTGCCCCTCCATCACTCATTGTAGAAAACTCGCTCAGTTTTGATAAACGGAATGTGATCGGCCTGACCAGGTCAGATGGATGCAAAAATACACCTGAACTCTTCTCCAGTAAATCAATGAAAATGCCCTGCTCTTAATAACTGCTTCCTGGTTAAACAAAGTGAAAGACAGTGATAAAGCCTTCCTAGATCCAACCCTAATCCAGATCTGCACCAAACATAATGGATACTTCCCTGATTAGCTAATTTGCAATCTATTCTGCATCCTCCCCTTGGCATCTGTTTGGTAACCTGTTCAGCAATTTAATGTTTAAGAGAAAACATGGTTCCTGGCTTGTAGATGAGGGGACGACATTCGATTTCTGATCACACTTTTTTGAGGTTGTTGAAAATGTGACTGCACCAATTTGGGGATTAAAATATGTTTACACCAGAAAAGGTTTAGTTAAAACATTAACTCACTTTAGCATTCGTTCGTTGGTCTCATCATCCATGTTAAAGGGGTTGAGTGAAGATGAAGAGATGATGCCAAAGGAGCCCAGGGGCTGATGGGTTATAGGTGAGGTAGTCTGGCGAGTGGACATTCCACTGACGGACGGAGAGTCTCTTAGAACAGAAGAAAATGGCAGACAGGTTGGGGCACAGGACACTGACATGTTCACCACCTCCACCATCTTCTTATTCACAAAGGCCAGCCCCGAGTTGGGGATCTTAGAGGACTTTGTCTGGCAGTCTAAAGGCTCTTTCTCACTGGATGATAACCCATTCAGTTCAAAAGATGATACGATATCACTTGCTGCCAGCCCTGTAAGGTCATTGGGCCTTTGTGTGGCGGTTGTACTGTTGGAGAGGTTGTTGGAGAATTGAAGCCTTGAGAGCTTGAGAGGTGTTTGTGAGGTATCCAGACCCTCCTGGTCCTCGACAGTACGCACTTCAGTCTGATCGAGCCGGTGGCACTCATCTCCAGTGTCAATCCTCTCTTGATCTGCCACACTTTCATGCACACACGGTTTGTTTCCACAGCTGCAGGGCACTGCTTCTGATTCAATGAGATGCACATCCTTCACTGAGGCACTCATTTCACTGATGTGTGTTTGATGATTAATATTCTCCCCATAGCTGCCAATAACAACCCTTTCCTTCACATGAGGGCTTTCTACAGACTCTTGCAGATGCAAAACTTCAGACACACCACTTAACACTGTCTTGGGTCTGCAAGTCTCTGCATTCGACTTTTCAAAACTAATACTCTCCTTGAGAATATGGTCAAGATTTGTGACTGAACTTGTGTCTAATAGAGATTGCTCTGAATCTAGGTTGCTCGTCAAAGAAGAGCAGTTGTTCTTACATGAATCCTGGTGTTGCATTAAGCTCTTAGTAACTGCCTCCTGGTTGAGCAGCACATGGTCCTCCACTGTGTCTTCTGGGCTACTTATCTGTGGTGCTGAGACCGACTTGGTCAGTTTGCTGAGCTGCCTCTGTTGCTGGTCCTCCTCATAGGGCAGGGAGCTAATAGACGTGAGCGAGGCCTGTATACCAGCACTTGGAAGGCTGCCATTACTCTGCATCTGCAGGCCTTCCAGAGAGCTGCGGTGGACCGGGTGCCGACACACAATTTGCTGTGGGAACTCCCGTTCACTGGAGAAGTCTAGAGGAGGCCGACCACGCAGACTAGCCTCCACGGGCCATGCAACTGAGCTGGGCTCACTCTCGATACCTGAGTCAGAAATAACAGAGGACGAGCGCTTCATGATTTTGGAGCCAACCACACCTCCACGGTGAGTGATCTCTTTTCTGAGATCACCAGAATAGGGAGACGTAACTGAATGCACATAGGCTGCGGGCAGGCTGATGAGAGGAATATCCTCACTCTCACCATCCATGGAGTGATTTAATGGCATTGCAATGTCAGACTCCTCTTTATTGTTTTCATCCTCTCTTGCATAGCTCTCCTTTGTGGCATCAGAAAGTGGGACAGTGTTTTCTGTTCCATGAACAGGGGTCTCATCACTGCTGTTAGTGGAGACAGTGAGTGGGTTGTGGCCTGAGGTTTGAACAAGGTCTGTTTCCCCTCTATATGGATCTACATCACAAGGCTTAACTGCGATGTACCCCGGACTGCAGTTCTCCTCAACTTGCTCTTTTTTTTCTGTTGGCTCCTTCACACTTTCTGACTCTGTTTGAGGGAGTTCAGCTCTGTCCTCAGGAGGAATGGGGCTCTGGATACTTCTGATATTGGGGTAGGTCTTACTCTGCTCTGCTATAAGGGAGACATATGTGGGCAGGTCCATGCAGTCATCACTGTCCAAGGGATCCGAGGGTATTGCTGGTGATCTGGCTCCCTGGCTGCTTCCACAAATCTTTTTGGAAGAAGTGATGGCTGGATGAGAGTTGGTCCGCTCTTCAGTAATTGCAGGAGTTGGCACATGTGAGGCTGACTCTGGAATAAAAAGGGACATTACAGTATTAAAGTAAAGCTTTTGTCTTGAAAAGCACAAATACATGATTAGGTGTAGATAAGACAAAAAATCTATTGACCTGTTTGAGGAGACTCCACATATCTGTCCTCAAAAATGATGGGCAGGCTGTTCCAGTCCCCATCAATGTCCAGGCACTCAACTGGTAGAGGAGGCATCTTGGTTAGGTAGTCTGAAGTCCGAACCTCTGTAGCTATCTGGCCATGTCTGTTAATTCTGGATTAAAATAGTAATATCATGAATAATGAACCTTTCTCCATAGAATGAAATACTCTCTCCCTCAGAAGACTCGTACTTACAGTTCCTCTTGAAAGGTTAGAGATATCTCTTTGGGGTGTTCAGTGAAGAAGTATGCCTCTGAGAACCTCCTGACCTGATGTTTCCAGAAACAGAAAAAGCAGTTTGTACCTTGGTGTGCCTAAATCCCATCTTCATTGTCATTGAAAGGTATGATGATCATACAACCGTCAATCTCATTCAGTCGATCATTTGAGGTTTACACTCAAAGAAAGTTTAAAATCACCTCCAAAGTGTTTTCCTTCTCCAACTCCAATTAGGAATATATTATTTTTCAAAGTCAGCCACCGTGATATGCAAATCACCATACACCAAACACCCTATCTGGTGAATTTTCACTCCACAATAATGACATAATATGTGTTAATTAAAATCCTAACGCTACTGGTGTGTGGCAGCATGGGCGTATCCCCTTGGGATAATCTAGTACCAAAGCAAACCTTCATTATTTTCAGACAATTGAGATGAAACAGTGCAATGTAAGAGAGCCATGAGAGCCACTCCACTGTGAAGCTCATACTCATTAAATAGACCAGTGATTAGATAGAAATGACACTGGCAATTGTATTAGTCTGTTCATATGGGATTAAGCTGTTGAGGGGAAGGTGTTTCATTTTTCGTATTCCCTTGTGTAGCGTTCAGTGATCACTCTGCCTCTCCAGAGTTTGGTGAAGTGAAGTCATAATTAAAGGTGTATGTATGAAATTAAATAATATGTTTGCGTATATTGTACGTGTTGGAGAGCCTGGGATGGGCTGGTGACCTCTCCTTAGTGTGCTACAATTCTAATATATGTATGCATAGATGGATGGATGGATGATTTAATGCAGCATACTTTTTACTCTTACTAACAGAAAGTTTTAAAAGAGATGTTACATGTTTACATTCATGCTACTTTGAATAATGTCTTATTAATGCACATGTTGTGAAGAGACTGGTGGCGGTCTGCTGGGATCAGATGTGACCAAACGTTCTTGCCTTCACTTTTCTTCACTGTTGGAGAATGACTTTCAAACAGCACTAGCAGCTAATGTTAACAGACCAAGGGACTGAGTGCAGTCAGCTGGTGTCAATGCAGGCCTAAGGTCAGTCCATCTGCAAACCATGCTCAGACTGAACTGACAGAGATCATTCAGCATGCACATTGGAGAGGGGGTACACAGAAGCTCCCAGTCCTCCTCTCCTCTCCTCTCTTATTCTCATTCAAACGGTTTCACACTGCTGAGCAGCTCTGCAGCAAACAAACAAAAACCCCAAATGTCTAATTCTCCCCTGATTTAAAGAAGATGGAGGACTTCCTTCTTGTTCTGTGTTTGACAGCTGCTTTTCACTGCAACACCTTGCTCAGAAAACAAAGAGAGGGGGAGCTGTGGCTGATGGAGCATTTGTTTATTTGAGATTCTGATACTAGTGTGACATCTAGTGGCAAAGATTATCATACAACTATAATCTTAAATAATAATCAGTTCAACATGTGCAAATGGTATATTGTGCCTCAAATCCACAACAATGCATGCTTTCTGTCATAATGGAAATATTATAGCGAACAGTGTGCATCTTTGCTATTGTATTAACTATTGAAATAATCATGTTCATTCATGTAGCCTGATGAAGAGAGACAGCAAATTTAGATCAGAGTACAAAGATTCCTTTTACTTTTTGATTATCATGACAACAGGTTTTCCTAAGGTAAAAGTAAAGACATGAAGGCAGGGAATTTATCAGTGGATACGTTTGTACCTTTTTTGCATCTCCTCCCACCTCTGGTTACAAATCAAATCTTTTTCTAGTCCAACAGCGAAGTTCCTTGAGATTATTTTAAATGTGGTGTGGGGAAATGTTAGGCTCTGAGACCTTTTAGAAAATTGGTCACAATATAAGGTATGCTTATTGTTATGGAATTTTCCTAGACACTGTCTCTTGTCCTCTCTGGGGCATAGTGCAACAGGCTGTTGTGTTTGGGAAGTGCGAGAGCTTGGCTAAGGTCAAAGCCTTCACTCCGTAGACATCACAGATATGAGACTGCGTAAGCACGCACTACTGTCTCCATAACTAGAAAATACATTTGATTGTTCAGGAACAAGCACACCCATAGGTTAAATGATCTGTTGGGGTTTAAAGTGTAACTGCAGGAAAGCAGACTTCAGAACATGAGAGAGCATCATGCACAGATGTTGTATGGATGAATTCTGACTTTCTCCTTGGCCAAGCTTCAATAAATATTTCAGCTTAAGACATCAAAGGGCTCCTGAACGCTTTCTTCATTGATGAGTTGACCATTGCTCAGCAGATTTTCCACAACACTTAAAATATCACTGGTTATGAAACTACTGATCGTTCTGTATTTTTATATTTTCGTGTGGGCGCTGACGACAGAAAGTGGCTTATTTTAAACTTATTTTTATCAGTGCACTGTGATGCAGACTGTGGCTCACAGAACACATGAGGTGAATGATGGTGCATAAGTAAGTCTGCCTCTGACGGTGTGTGATTCTCACCCTGAGCGTGTGGTGCTCCTGGGCCAGATAGGAAAGGATGTGGGGGTTGAGCACAGCAGCCTCCAGGAAGCTGCTCCACAGAGCAGCCAGCTGGGAACAGAGCTGGCTCACGTCCCTGCTGATCTGCTCTGCTACCTTCTCGTGACCCTCTTGAAGCTGATGGGGATAGAAAAAAGCATGAATCCATATATTATAAAAATGGATGCATTAGCTGTCAAAGATTTCTTAAAATATGTTTTCTACTTTAGGATCCCTGGTGGACTTGCTAACATATACCTATTGAAAATAGAGTGTCTGCAGTATTCCAGGTCATCAGATCATTGTAGGCAGCTCATGTTAACGATGTAAATCAATCAACCCATGCTTCTCTCTGTGTGGTAACAGCTGAACCATTATGCCAGTTCACAAATGCATCAATGCTTAAAAGCCATAAGTATTTAATGTCTTCATGATCCCCTCATGCTTGACAAAGATATTGTTTTATACAACAAAGATATCCTTCCCTTGAATAATGTCATTCTATCTGTCTTATATTATAGGAAAAAAAAAAACGAATTCAAAGTCATTCATTTAGATCGGTGGAATAAAAAAAAGGAGGAAAATGCATGAAATCGTTTTGAGTACATAAAAATGCACTTAAAATGCAATTTACGTTTTATTTACGTTTAAATTCTGCATTTATAATTGTACAATTTCACTCATGCCAAACATAAATATTACAAAAATCCCAAACAATCCAACTATAACAATAAAATCATAGTTAGATTAGCAAAGCTCTATTTTTTATCACAAGGTAATAAGCAATGTGTATTTGACGTGGCTGTATCATACCTGTATCTCCATTGTGAGCTGGTTGAGAGTTTCTTCTACATGCAGCACCTCTGTTGAGAGAAAGGTTATTTGCAGAGCTCAGTGAAAAGCATTTTATTAAACTGTGTCCTAAGTGAGAGGACAGTAGGAGTTAAAAAATGCTGTAACACAAGGTCATATATTTGAATCTTTGAAATACTAATTGGGACCAAACATGAGACGGGATAAAATCTTGAAATAAACTACAAAGCTATTAAATGATACATTTTGGAATAAAGTTCAGTAGAATCAGTTCCACAATTCTCTAGAACTACAATATGTTTAAATTTTCATGTTATTTACACATTTCAATAAAGTTTGGAGGGAAATGTTGTACTTTTCTCTGTATAACATATATTTGATGGTTTCAGATCACACTTTTCATCAAAACAAATCATGGGGCTCATAAGCTATAATGAGGTATTACAGTACTTCTAGTACGTTAACAACAGTACATACAAAGGTTCACCTACCCTGGAAACGATAGTCAAATTTTGTATAGATTTTAATGTAGCAGAGGTCAATATATCATAGTTCTACTTCTAATTCCAAGTATATTTTACCTCAAAATCTTTATTCAAAGTAAATTTTGTATCTTTACATAGTTCATTTGGCACTATGACCCTGAGTTAGTTTTGACATATGGAGCCGTTCAGGCCTGGACACAACTTTGTCTCCTCTGGCGAAGGGTCAAACTTCGCCGGACCTCAATTTTTTCACGGTTTGAGGAAATGTCACAATCCTGACCATGTTCTGAGAGCCTGACTGAGCTCACTTGAGCTGTGTATTGTAAAGCAGCGAGCAGCAATGCGTCAAAGTATAAAACTTCCTGTTGCATTAATGGTGACGGGGACTTCTTTTTTTGTCAGGTCATGATACATGTGTGTACCAAATTTCGTGAAGAGCGGTTAAACCAGATGGAAGTGCTGCGTCTTAGGGGGTGCTGTTGAGCCATTTTGCCAAGCCCATCTTCAATGACTCCAGAATACATACATTTTCACCAGGCCTGACGAGCCCTTTAAGTTTGGTGAGTTATTGAGTGTTCAAGATGTCAAATATGCAATTAATTTCCCTGAATAATCAAACAGAAACCAATAGGGCCTAGTAAATATATACAGAGCTTTGCATATACAGTACTTACCTGACATTAGTGGAATCTGCTGGAGTTGTGGGATTTCCTTCATCAGTGCAGTGTAGTATGTGTGCAGGCCTCTATGTGCCACCAACAGGAGGCGACAGAGCCTTCGGTGCCACGTATGAGCTCTCTGCAGGCACTCTTCACTGGGCACATAAAAGCTCCCCTGCGGAGACAGGGACCCAGAGGAAAATGTCAGCTGCTATGTAGGTCAGCCCTCACCTCTCAGAAAACTGTCCTGCCTTAATAATGGGACACAAAAACATACTTGAACTTTATAGCCTGCGCTGCAACAGATGTATGGGCTTGTCTCTGACCCTGTGTTAAAAGGAGCTTGTTTCTGCATCAGCCAAGTTACTCGGAAGATCAAATGCAACTTTAGAGACAAATGGGCCCTAAACACAGCTTGCTGTGAGCTGTAAAAGCACATCAATACGTACATGCAGCACAGAAGGATGTAACGCATCCCTGTTACAACCTTTTAAAATTCCCCAGTGTGGGAATCCAGGGTGTCACTGTGACTATAAGTAAAGGGAAGATGAAGCAGGATATATAAAATAGTGAGAGGATCATACTGGTTAGGCTAGAATCATATGCTGAAACATTTAAAAAAAGGGTACAGAACAAAAGTTGAGTGGATTCATTGAGGAAGCAGAAATAACAAGGGAAAAAATAAAAATATTAAATAATAATATGAAAATGAATGAAGCTAAAGCACAGTCTCCCCTGCAAATTTGAATAAGAGCTGTAATATGGGCCATGTTTCCAGTAGGTGGCTCTCTAACAGTGCAGTAGAACTATTAACTGCTTTTCACCATTGTAATTCACAGCAAGCATTGAGTGCAAAACGAGCCTCTGTCCACAAAGCTACAATTTATCCCAGCCGTGATGCTTTAATCGCGTCTCCCATTGATCTCCCTGAGGAGTTAATGGCATTCTACCCAAACAACCATCATTGTGCGCATCAGCTGTCATGATTTGGATTTAGTGGACCTTGAACGTTACCAGCGTCTGCCCTCAATCTGCTGGTCCTTGACCTGAAACAGTCAGCTACCCGCTGAGTTCTTCCCATGGCTGGGATGTTTTTGCAGCGCCAGCGGGGCTCAGAGCTTTGAAAGGCACGCAGCGCCCCAGTATCTGGAGATGTACTGTAATTTGCCCCCAGGCTACTCCAGTCTCCGGCCCTATCATCATACCTGTGTGCGCTCTGTAATTGCAGCGGTGCAGTATACCCAAACCAGGAAGGAACATCTGTATGTTTACTTTCATAATTCTCTTAAGCTTTATAGAGGCCTGCCGGGATCAGTCTGTGAGCGAAGGGCAAAGAAAAATAGCTATTTTCTTCTGTTTGACCCAATCGTTATCCAGAAACCATAGTTTCTCTGTGTGCTGACAATGCTCGGGATGTGCCCCATTTCACCTGACATGAGAATTTCTGCTTTTGTTTGCTGCTGTGGATGTGTTTTTTTCCCCCAGCTCAGCATCACAGTGTGTGTGGTGTAAAAGAATCCAGTTAAAGATGGTTTGTACTGGTAGAGAAGAGCTTTTGTTCTGGTATGATTTCCTCAGAACTATTTTATTTCCACCAAAGATTCTCAGGTATCTCCCTTCAAACAGCACCATCATTTTCCTCTCAGAATATGATTTCTTCCCCTGAATCAGAGATGTAACAGTCGTTGTCAATGGAAAGACAAGCATCTGTTTGTTTTCTTTTTTTCATGAATAAAATCCCAACACTTGACATGACGTGGTGTTAAAAGGGAAAGTGCTGAAGCTGAAGCGTAGCCTCAGGTGAAAAGCTCTAAACAAATAAAGGTGAAGGAAGAGGCGGCATTGTGTGCAGATTTCACCTGCAGCTATGTAGTACGTGGCACTTGTGAGCACAACTCATTACTGTGATCAAACGAAACCCCCCTGCCTTGCTAAATGCAGAGCTTACTAAAGTGCTCAGCCAGGGGTGGGAGTAAAAAACCAGGAGGAGGAGGGGAGGACGGGGCAACCTGGGCGCTCATTAAGTTTTACAAAGAAGGCTGTGACGTCCGCAGGGACTCGATACATGCATGCTATAAAAAGGTAGAAAAGGGAACCAACAGCTGCGCAACTGTATGTACAGTATGTATGAATAATTAGCAAACATAAATTAAACTACAAATAGGAGGTGATTTGATGACGTAGAAAGGCTATATTGGGGATAAATTACTTGGTTAGGCGTAATCATATCTACTAATACTGTAGTTTTTTCTCATAGACCATAGCAGTGGCCTTACTACATATTCATGATGAGCATGTTTTGAGTGTGTTATGTTGACACACACAGTGGTGAGTAAATGCATTTTAATTCAGCTTCAGGGGGCTAATTAATCATAGACTGTATCCACACTGCATAGAATCGGTAAACTAATTCAGTATCATATGCATATACACACTAATCATCATAGAATACTGTACAACAAGTAAAACAGAAAATGTATGCATACACACTGTAAGAGTAAGTGGTAAATAGGGTTTACTGCAGATTATCGTAGAGTACAATCTGTTTACTATTAGAACTATATGTAACATGGAATAAAGGGAACAAATACAAAGTAATTTCTGTACAAAAGAGTTTCGATCAAATGTTAAACATAAAATCTAATAAAAATCTTAGCAGCTCCCTATAAAGTGACTTAAATCATCTCTAAAAGTTAGAGTGACCAGATTCTCCACCTCCTGCTATTTGGGAAGACAATTTGCCTAGGCTTTTGAAATAATTAAACATACAATAAGTAGCTTTAACCATTAAGGGTCTCTCAATCAAAACCTAGCAATGGATTTAGTTTGATGCCATTGTGATTTGAACATTGCTGGAAACACTTTGGATCATTTAAGTACACAAGTCAACAAAACATATATCTTAGCCCTAGTTGTTTTTAGACGTTTTAATGAGGAATTGTTACATATTATATCTTTAAGCTCCATAATAATTAAAACATCTGTAAACCTGATTAATAATTATGATGGGACTAATTTTAATCATTTCTGTTATCATGCAAGCCTGCAGTTTAGCTGTAGAATGATGAATACAGAGGGCATGAGGGGAAGGTGACAAGACTACAGCATAATTTCTAGCGAGAGCTTCTATCACTTCCAGATGCTGAGCTTGGAGCCTACATGCCTGGACAGGTGGGTTAATCAGATATTATGAAAAGCCACAGTGCAGCACAGTAATAATCTCTGTGTTGGCCTCTGGTCTTCAAGCTTACAAGACTCCATGGGGCCCAGACAAATGACCTATACTGAGGGATAGTCAGGTCTGGGATCTGTAATCCAGACCAGAGTGACTCTCAGCTCTCGGGCTGAATCCTGTTGCTTCTGGATGACAAAACAAATCACAGCTAAATCCATCAGCTGATAAACCGAGATCAACATTTACGTCATCGCCTGGCATTTAGCTGCTTATTTACAAAAAAAGGGAGCAACCAGCTGAACAGGGACAACACCCACTCATTTTTGAGCTGTTGTTAAGCTTTGTGAAGCCAAATGGCCTTTGACTATCTGTGAGTTTCAGTTTGAACGCCACTGAACAGCTAAAGGTTGACATACCTCAGAGATGACAGGCTTGCAGTAGCCAGCTCCGAACACAAGGTTCTCTACAGACATGGCAGATGGGTCGCTCGTGCTATCTGGCGAGCTCTTCCCCAGCCAGGAGCCCTTCCCTGTACGTGCAAAGCTGGAGAGAGGACACATGCAGAGACAAACCATGAGTGTGAGTGTGTGTGTGCTTGTATGTGTGTAAGTGTGGTAAAACATAGGCTGTGAGATACATGCTGCTCTCGTTACAATCACTCAAGTGCTCCGTTAATCTATTTAATGCATGGATGAAGACTGACTTTATGATATTGACCGCTGGATTAATCAGATAAGTGTTTTGAAATCTATCCATTAAAGCAGTTAACGGATTCACTCAACACACTTTGTTCACTTCTTCTCTGCTCTCCATATTTATAAAAGTTGCAAGTACTATTCACCCAAAAATGGTCATTTTCAAGCAACTCACTGAGCTAACCTTAGCCTAATGTGCTAGCTGATAAAATCTGCCTATTGACATTTCACTGGGTTTAAAAGCCTGGAAAATTGGCTGCTGTTATTGTAACTATCATGTGCTATGCTGAAAGACCAGACAGGCATAGCAAGGGCAGAACTTATTGAACAGTCACATTCCATCATGTTAAATAAGTCGAGATCTGTCAAATGCAAATGGTGGTAAAGCCTCTTTTGACTCCACCTGATTAGCGGCTGATGTAAGGCAACCAGTGAGGCGTGTATGGAGACAGAAATGACGGACAGGTGGAAGTAGTCAAACATGACTGGGACGTGGTGGTGGAGGCCTCTCCGTGGGTGGAAGTGGAGGCTGAGGGTGCGACTGCTGATCAACGGGACAGTCAGTATCTCTGCCAACCTGAGAAAGAGAAACAGTGACAGATGATTCTCCGGCACACAAATCACAAAGACATTGCAATGATCTGAATAATTGTTTTTTGTATTTTGAGGAAAACTTAAACTGACACAATATAAAAACAACACATTAAACTATGCAGAGGAAAAAGGAAAATACAACATTAGTGCAAAGCAAGTGATTTTATTTCATATACGTAAAAAATGTTTGCATGTATTATTTTCTGACCCTGGATAATGAAAAGGTGCAGCTCTTTGTTTAGAGAGCTCGAGCTATCAATGACAAATGTCTTTTCCTTTTGTCAGACTTATTAAAAATGTATATGTCTGCAGACGACTTCTCACCAATAACCCGAGGTCCTTATTACCGACATGTTTATTGTCCTTGCAGCTCTGAAAGACTCTGAGTCTGCAGCTTGACTGGAATGGTAATAGAGACCTGGACGATGTTCGACAGTCGTACAGAGTAAAAGCAGCTAGAGTCTCTGCTCTGATACAGAGAAGGTGCTCCATAATTCAGTCTTTTGTGGTTTTGACAAGTACTATAATCAAACAGGTATGCCAAAAACTGAGACTCAAACATTTGAACACATAACACACCAGTTAGCTACTGGATACAAGAAAAGAGCTCCAACATGAACAGTGCATTTTGCAGTGTAAACCAATACAAATTCCTCTTCTATCAATCATTTGTCTATTTGAAAGCAAACAATCAAATCACTGCAATCGTGTTCTTCAGCACAGAAGTTGTGATCGGCTGACTAAAGAGATGGCTTTGAACCAAAGAACATAATAACCCTCATTCATGCTTGGTTTAAGACTCTCTCTCATTCTCTTAAACACACACTCACACACACACACACACACACACACACCAAACTACTCCAAAACCTACTGTTGCTCATTGTCAGTGAAGTGAAGATCCAGCTTCAACTGAAAGTCCACCTCACTCAGGGCCTCCTCCACCTGCAAAACATTGACGCAGTGGTGGTGTTATTGCATGAACATGAGGAAAAGGTAATAAAGCCTTCCTTAAGGCAAACTCATGCTTGAATTCCAGTTTGCACACTTGTCACTTGTTAGTTTTTGACATGAAAATAGACCTGCAAAGAGACAGAATCATCTTTTGCAAATGTGATCTGTAAAATGCCAGAAATACTAAAAACATGACAAGGAGTCTGCAGCCTCTGTTGTGGCTCTTTATTCAAGTGTCCTTACTAATTCCGCAAAATTTTCACAAAATGACCAGAAAATTGGTACAAGAAAATGCACATGAATACACATTCTTAATCCACAGCAGTTGTGTGAACATTGTTGGCAAGATCAAGATTAACAGTTTTTAGTGCTAACATTCCATTCAGGTGCTGTTAAATTATTGAAAATATCAGGATGAGGGTAATCAAAGAGCACCAGGCACCCACGTTGAGAGGACTGTGAAAATGTATGTTTGTTTCACATATAAATTTAAGAGAGGGATACAAACTCCTCATCATTCTGCACAGATTTAATGTTTTCATCTATTACCCGTCTCTCAGGCCTTCAGTTAGGGGGTCAAAATTCAACCCTTAATGAGTTTAGTCATGTATTTTCTTAATCCATTTTATTTTAGTTTCCACTCAAGTTTAAATTTACCATCTATGTTTAATGTCATAGTTTTCCATATGAGTAAGTAGCTGAAATCATAAACCTGAGTATTGGACAAATTTTGACCATACCCAAGAAATAATCACTGAGACACTTAAGCTGTGGCAAGTTTCACAACAATCCATCAAACATTTGTTATACTTTAAAGTTTGGACCATGCATTCATGCTGCTACCATGACAAATTAAAGATAAAACATCACCAAGATTATTTTATATTAAATTTCTGCCAAAAAATTTTTTCACCTAAACCTTACACATTGAACCCTGAAGACTTTAGTATGATGTTTTACTTCCTGTCATCATCACCTACATGGGCTGCATCTACCTATACTTTGCATTAATTGATTTGATGACAGGTGTTTAACTGACGTCACCGCGTTGTTGATGTGGCTATTGTATTGGTTAATATCATTATGGCATTACCACCAGCAAAATGAATATCCTCGTCGTTCAAACATTACATTGTTGGAGGAGAAAACTGCAAGCTGCTTCTTCTTCCATTCTTTAATCTTGTATCAACCTCCTGCAATCGGTATGAAAATCTGAAAAACTGTTTCTGTATCTTAACATTACAAACCAGTCAAACTATAGCTCAGCTTGAGCCGGTAAAAGACCACATCTTTTGGTCAGACTGGATTTTGCTCCATTGATCTGGACCATGGACAGCGACACCATTCACACCTGTTATTTTAGAATCATTTAAAAGTCTGATTGTCGGACCAAAGGTGTGAAAGAGAAAAGTTTCAAATCTCCTTTGTTTAGGTCGTCTCAACAACTCATCTGTAGAGTTGAATACCATTCCTCCACAGGATTCAGTATTCCCTCATTTGGTCAAAATACTCACTCCAAATATAGGAGTTGATGACTGTGAACTCAACAACATATGTTATGTGATACTCACTAAACCATTTGTTGATAGCTGGTTCCCTTGCATGGAAGCATATGCATCCTATGTGCTGCTCCACTATATCATCTCCTCTTTCTATTCACGTTATTCATGTTTTCTATTGATAAGCATCATCAGCATTTCAAACATGAAACTGATGAGGAGTAACAGTCATCACAAGTAATCAACAAGCATACGGTGGATTTACAGTGCATGTATACAGTTGGCTGTGAATCCTGCTGTTTGCCATGCACCTTGCTGCGACCAGCCTTGTTTGCAATGCTGATTTAGTCACTTCAAAGTTCTTTTAATGGACCCCTCATGCTCTCTGCGTGGCTTACAAACTGTATTCCTGCATTTCCTTTAATTCAGCGTGGACTGGGCATGATTGAATTTCTCTCATGTTCAGAGTGCCATTGAATATCAACGCCTTTTCAAATGTGAACAACAAAGTGGGGAAAATAAAAGGTTGGAGCCGATATTGGGCGTAATGGAGTCTTTTGAAGATTGAGGTGCGGTGCTTGTTATAATAAAGGTTTGACACAGGTCCTCCTGTCGAAAATAGATTCAAACACACACTTAGTAAACATACATGGTAGTTCTGTCCAGTGCTAATGTTCTGATTGATTAAGCATACATGAGGTGTACACAGAGGAAACAAGGGGCTATTTTTGTCTGTGCTATCTGAAGCTGTCAGCAGCAGATAACCTCAAGAAGGTTAATGAGCAAGGAGCCATTGGGAGCGCTTACAGCTGAAATCTGATACGCCTTTAAGCTCCTGTGTCTCCATATCTCCACAGGAACATGTAAAATTAGCTGTCAAACCCAGTCATGTCGACAGAATATGCACATTCTGACTGAAGCAGGGATCCGTTCTACCTTCTCCATCTACAGTAAACTGCAGATAAACCATATGTCACAGAGTGAATGGTGCAGGGTTATGTCACTGAGTCGGCCATGGCTCTCATATGGATGATTAAGCTTCGAGAGGAGCCATCTTAACTTCCCCACAGCCCAGCCTCTGGCCTGTCTCATCGCTGTCACCGCTGATCAATTTGAGGTCAGGTGGCTCCCAAACAAACAAAAACAAAAGAACAGGCAGAGTGGATTTTCAGGGTCGTGCCCACGTTTAAACTATAAAAGACAGTACATCAATAACTGTCTGGCAAGTTTACACACCTGAGCATTTGAGACGAACATGGGCAGTCTGAGGTCACAGGACATTAGAGACGTTAATTCTGAGAGGCACGTCATATGACTCAATAGTCTGTCTGAATATGTGTCTGTAATGGTTAATGTACAGGGAATAACATCTACTGTCAGTTGAATTTGGGGATTCAAACTTCTTTATCTGTATTTTTCATGTGTTTTTATCTAAAACCTGGTCGCTGCATCTGCACGCTGATATTAAGCCCCAAACATGTTCTGATCTTGATCTGAGGCAAATGTTAATGCAGTTCTCAAACACAAGTAATTCATTTTCGTTAATTATCTAGTTTAAGCAGTGGTCAACAGTGACTGTCGGGAAAGGTCAGTGCAGCTCAGGTTCAACAATTTGAACTTACACTTCTCTCTAAGATAATGTGATTGCACTTTAATAATATGAAAGTCGGTCTGTGTTTGATTTTTGTGTCTAGAGCATTTCACTTGAAACCTCTTTCCAATGTTTGCAAAAAAAAATGTAGAGCAGAGAAAAGGAACCAAGAAATAATAAAAACCTCATGCATGTTAATCATAGAAATGTCTGTATTGGCTAAGCTCCCATTTAGAGCTGATTGCACAATTATGTTATTGGTTAATAATTGATGACGTCTGCAACAAGGGAACTCAGGTACCAACATTTTCTTTGTTTTTCTGACTTGAGATGCTATTCATGGGATTTTTCCCAGACAGTAACCATTTTTTAAAATTATTCTTTGAGCTTAATTAATTGAATTATTTAACATAATGCTAATAGTTATTGCTATATCTCAGTTAAAGACAATATTGTATATGTCAGATGGGAGGAGAAAGATAAAATGCTTGAACTAATGGCTGTTCAATATTTCTGAAGGACACAAGCTGCAGCTATGGAGCAAAAAACTGTTATGCAACTGTTTTCACTGTAATTAGTCAGGCTACTGTGTAAGCAGCCAAATGGCATTCCTTAGAGGAAGTGTGAATGTGTGTGTGTGTGTTTAGAAAATGTCACCAGCATTACTCACCTTCTCTCCGTCCAACAGCAGGTGGACTTTGAAGATCATACAGTCATTCACCGCAATCTCCTCATTTCTGTAAAGGATCTGAAATATCCGGCTGAACACTGTGCCGTCGTAAACCCCCGCAGAGCTGAAGCTGCATTCTCCTGATGTGGGACACAACAACATGCGAAATAACAGTCAGCTCAGTATGTGCCACGTGTAGTATCACTGACACAAGTCAGTCACATGAGTTGTCTCTAACATACATTTCTCATCACAGCCTGAAATAAACCGTGGCTTTTCATTTGCCAAATGCTTCACCAGACGTTTTCAATATGTGCTCAGAATTTCTAATATGTTGCCATATTTGAAAATGCCTGACCTGACATTTGCAAATGTTAACTGGGATTTGTCAGGGATCTGAGTTTGTATATTCAGCTCTCGTAGGATTTGTGAATATGTTACCAGATATAAAAAGTGACAAATGAAACGACAGCTCCTCAAAAATGAGGTTAGTTTATCGCCATTGACGGCTCAAATAGAAGCAGTTGCTTTGTGATGTGTACGGGCAGGACCTTGACACCACTCCCTCATCATTGCTACACGTCCTCTGGCTCTAAATGACATCACCAGCTCAGGATACCAATGCCCCTATTTGGGATTCATCTTTGTAAAGTGGCCTGAAATGTAGGCACGTCATTCATCCTTATATGGAGGTCTTGTTAGACATTGGACAAGTTATAGATGACATATGCTCAATCATGTCCATGAAAAGGCCCAGTAGTTTTGAAGAAATACTTAGGAATTATATTTATTACTGGGAGTTCTTAAGGATCTGTATCACTCTTGTACATTCAATGCTTTGGCCCCTTTTTCAAAACAAACTAGCCACATTAGTTTAGGCTAACAGCTAGTGACTGTATAGCTTCATATCTAAATTGAGGACATGAGAGTATAGTAATACTTCTTTTCTACACACATAGTCACACCAGGGTTTAAAATGTGCTTAAAATATTTTTGGGAGCATTTCAGATTATTTGTCACAGTTGGTGGAATCACACCTCTGGGCAAAATGTTTTATTTGACTTCTTATAAGCTTGGACCCATAAGCACCACCATCTTCACGGTGCTGACCTCGAAGGGACATAGTGGCTAAAATAGAGGACGGCGTTACAGCAAGATCTTTTAGCATACATCATAAGGAGTTAATTAATTCCACACACATTTTCAAGCAAGGATAGACATTGATTATTTGGTTCGCATATGCACAACACATTTATGCATAAAACTACAAGCATCCACAATTGATAAATGAGTGTCCCATGTCCCAGCTCTTCTGTGTGTGACATTTTCTCTCTGCTACTTTCTCCCTGCAGTCTCGGAGGCAGAGATGTGTCCAGCTGCAAACTGTGAGAGGTCTTGGAAGTCCCCTGCTGAGGTTGTGCTCTTTTCTGTTTCATTTCTACCCTGCCTCTCTCCGCAGGCCTTCTCCTGATGATGCTATGACTACTCGCAGCGTCAAGCAGCCCCCGCGAGGAAGACAGACATGTGGGAGCGTGACTGTTGTCAAAGGCTTGGTGGGTGTGTGACAGAGACGGCATAATCCCTCCAGGGATGAAGCCTGTGTGGAAGGAGTTATAGCTCTGCATGTGTTAGTGCTGTCTCCCTACAGTCAGATGAATGTGACTTTGATTTTCTTGGTTCTTGACATGTTTCCTTGTACTCATCTGAGTTTCTGTCCATTGATTTAAGAAGATTAAAGGCATCACTGTCGCTTTTCAGAAGAATGATCATGAATGATTTAATCAGTCCCAGAAATTATTCTATGTGTGTTTGACCTGTGAAAGAGTCGAGACGGCCCCAAGGTGCATCCACGCCTCATCTCCTGTGCTGGGTGGCCCTTCAATGTTACCAAAGCCACAGAATCGATGAATTGTAGCTGCGGCAGAAACACTCACATGCACTGTACTACTTTTGAAAGCCAGTTTGTTTTACTGGATTGATTAAACATTACACCATGTACCAGGGGAACAGAAGTGAAAGGATCTTGATAATGAAACTGCTTTGCAGTGATCTCTGCTTTGACATTGATAGCAGCAATGTTTGCATACAAAGGCAATGCAAAAAAAAAGACAGCAGCATCAATGTACTATAATGCAATCCAATACAACAGCCAAGCTTAAGTGCTATTTTTGTAAATCTATCTCTTACCTGATTTTGTTGAGCTTGTATTTTACATTTGTGCTGCACCTAATTCAACTGAATGTTCTGTGTATTGTAAGTTACATAATAAATAACACTGATTTCAAGTACACACAAAATGACAGTATGTTCTTCCTTGCATAAAATATTCTATTCCATTTTCATTTAGCTGACGCTTTTATCCAAAGCGACTTACAATAAGTGCATTAACCATGAGGGTACAATGATAGGTTAAAGACCAGTCGAGCTACTGCATCCTGGATGAGCTGCAAGGTCGGATAGCACTAGCGGGTAGACAAGCCGGGGGGGAGTTGCAGTAGTCTAAGCGTGAGATGACCAGAGCCTGGACCAGAACCTGTGCTGCCTTCTGAGTGAGAAGGGGATGTTTTCTCCAGATGTTGTGCAGCATGCATCTACAAGAGAGGGTTGTTGCAGTAATGTTGGCAGTAAGGGAGAGTTTTGACTGTCGAGTGTGACACGACAGTCAAAAGGTTAGCTCAATAGCATCCGAAGAGTCACACAGCAACATCTAAATAATTCCACCTCAATTTAAATTTTTCAATTCCTCTGTCAAAAGTTACAGTATGTAATAGCAAAATAAGTCCATATTTGCTAGTAAAGAGAAACACTTAATAACCCAGACTCAACATAGGACCTATAGAAAAATAACGGAAACATTTTGCTTGTCATCATATATGGATGTCTTGCAGCATTAGTCTACATCTATTATGACAAACTACACAAGCTAAAACAATCATAACTCGTTGCACATGATTGCACGATGCACAATGATTGTATCCCATCCCTGCTGATGCACTAAATCTTTAAGGTCAGGCTACAAGATGATATCATGTATTCAGATCCTAGAAATAATCTTAGGCACATCCAGCTGCCCTTGACTCAGCCCATCCAGATATTTGTGTAACAAATATCATGAATGACTAAAGAATGCAATACTGTAAGAATACAATAGAACCATTTTTTTAAATGTACATTTTTGACATACAAATCTTGACTTTTTAAGTCACCACCATTATGTCATCATAAAATGAATTTAAAGTCTGTTAAGGCTAGTTACCTGTGTCTTTGCACTAATCAGGGCTGAGAACCTTTTTTCTTTCCCTGGTAAGAACGCTTTTCCATAAATGTCACAGTAAACCATAACTTCCAAAAATATATACCTGACACCAAAGTTTGCTGGCGCTATAATTGTTTTTAATGTCCAATAGCATTCACATGCTGTTCTTGTTAGATATAATTGTGACACTCACGCCCTCCATTAATAGTTTTAGTGAGTGAAACCAACAGAAACACATCTAACCCACTCTTTTCTGACGTTGTGGTAAACTGCAGCTCTCACAGGTGTTGGGGCGTTATCACATCCTGCACATTAAAACCTGCTGAAATGCCATTAAGCTTAAGCCACAGTGTGCTGGAAATAATCTGCTTTCAGCCTCTGGTGCTCTACATCTGCTGTGTGTGTGTGTGTGTCTGAGAAAGAGTGTTCCTGTATTTTAAGCATAGACCATACAGACTGAGGACATTTTTGGAAAATGAGGACATTTTGACTGGTCCTCACTTTTTCAAAGGACTGTTTAAAGGTTAAGTCTAAGTTTAAGGGTTAGGGTTAGAATTAGATTAGGGATTTAGTTTGGATGGTTAAGGTTGGGCTAAGGGGCTAGAGAAGGCATTATGCCAATGAGTGTCCTTACTAAGATAGAAGTACAAACATGTCTGCGTGTGTGTCTATTCGTAAAACACACAAAAATCTCTACACAGTATTTCCGCCCGTTTGCAGTAATATTTGAAAATCACTGTGCAATAATGTGTGAATCACAATTATAAAATGCTTTGGATGAGTGTGTGGCAAAATCCGTCACACAAAGGAATTGTCAAGCATACACTTTCACAGAGAAGTAGGGATTATAGTAAGGGATTATTCCCTGTGAGTGTGTGATGAATGTATTTCCTGTCAGCGGCCGGAGTGCTGGCTGGTGTGTTGGGTTCACGCTCAGGATGGTGTACGGGCTTAATACACGACCTGGTGGAGGGAGCAGCACATGTGAGGGGAGGGGAAGGGAGCAGCCCTCCAATTGCATTATGAGTATGATCCTCACTGTAATGTGCATTGCAGCAGTGTTACGTGTTTGCCACTTAAAGCTATAGTCAAATAAACAACTGAAGTCAGTGGATCATATATAGGCTGCATTTCCTAAGGGCAACTTAACTGAATCTGTGAATCTTCATAGAGTTAATAAACAGTCTGACTCATGGGATGTAGGATGTTGGATATAAACCTGTCGTCTGTCACCTATTTCAGACCATTCAGTCCTGTTTTTATAATTCCATTCACCACTGGAAGAAACAATATCTCTCACCTAATCTACAAACTGACAAAGGTCTTTTTTTTTTTTTTTCTCTGAGTGTGCTCACGTCTATGTTCCACCACAACAAGTCTCACCCCTATGGTTAACCCAACAATGTATCTTGGGTTTAGTCTGACCTATTTAAGATGACTTATTATTTGTACCCTGATGATGAACAGATATAAAATGAATTTGCCCAGTGCTGCAGCTAACTCCAGCTATCGCACAGGATCAATGTGATAGCAAGACTTTTTTCCATCCAGCGATTGTTCACCAAAACAACAGTTACATCTTAGAGAAATGAAAAATTGTCACTTGAAACTTTCTGTTATTGGTTTAACAATCAGCCTTTGAAAATGTGTCATGAAGGCAGATGTTATTTCCAAGTGTGCACAGAGCCAGGCTTACTGTTTGATGCTGGATCACAGCTTTTTTCTAAGTTCACAACATTGTGATTTCATCTTAAATCTGTGGCCTATTGGGGGAAACATAAATAAGCTAAAAAACACACCATTAAATCTTACCACCTATAAATTGTGTAATATATAATGAGTCAATGGCTGTAAATGGCAGACATTAGCATTACCATTCATTTGGAGTTGTGTTACTTTAAAACCAATGAATATTTATCTAATGCAGTGGAGTGTGTGTGTGTGTGTGTGTGTGTGTGCCATGTGGTATAGACCTTATCCTAAAAGGCACTGCTACTGTACCTTTGCCTCACGTTCTGGGTCTATCATATAGCAGCTACGCAATTTGGTTATAGTGATCAACTGTTATAGTGATCAATCTGGCCTTGGACAAGTGTGATTACTATAAGCAGTTTCCACCTTATTACTTTCAGTTTGACTCTGTATCTGCCTGAGAAGAATTTTGCAGCGAAATCTTCCACTGTGTTCGCCAGCTAGTTGCTAACTTTGCTCCCTCGGGTTGTGTCTGAAAACTAGTGCTGAAGAAGCCAGTGAAAGTGAACTGCTGCTGGCTAGAAATTCACAACAATGAACTGACTCTAATATTCTCCACAGAGCTCAGGAAACAGCAGAGATCATCAGCACACGCGACACACTTCACATACAAGCAGTCATGTGACTCTTGGTATTATATACCATTGATTGAAGCCCAATATAATAATATTGATTACAGCCACTTTTCCACATAATCATGTTATTGATTTCAATCTTATAATCGCACTCTTGGAAAGAAAGCTTATGCTTGCTTGTGCTATCAATAAATCAACTGTGTAATATGTGGACTATTTGTACACATTTACTGGTCTAAAGCAATGCACAGTCACGATGCTCCTTGTTTAAGACTGTATCGACTGTACCACCTCCAGGCGGACGATGCTCTACCTCCTCTTCCTCACCTGACATCATGTAGAAATGCAGATCATGGATTTGGCACGCTAAAAATAGACTGCTGTACATTTCCATTGCAATCACTCATTAATATTGCTACCCCATCCACAATAAGGTGAGGAAATAGTCTTTCCTGCTGGCGGTCCTGTCACTGTGTTCATGAGAAAAATCACTCTCACAGCTCAGACTGAGACACACTGCCTTCACAATAAGCCACATCCTTGCATCCACACATGCACAGCTCCTCTCTAGCTGTGAGAACATATCTCCGTATTAGCGCTTATCTAAACCATAGGTTTTACAAGGCTAAAAATACATCCTGATCCTAAAATGACCAGAAACTGACAGTCAGGACTTCTGTGTCCTCACAATTAAAACATCCTCACATGACCAGTGGGCTGCACACACACAAACCACACACACACACACAAACACGTGGTTCACCAGTCATGACAAGCTAAAAATAGCCATTATTACTGTGAATCAGTATTGCCAGTCAAACAGCCTCCTGCATTGCCAGAGATCCCGATTTTAACGCACAGGGGGGGTTTAGACAAACTGAAACCTATGAATACAAAAGAGGGCAGAGTATATGGTATATTTTATATCTTAGAAAGCAACTGCAAGAAATTGTATTCAGAAATTCAAACATATACAATGCACAGTGCATATAGCCTACCTTTTACCCAGTTAGTTGCTGGTTATCTGCAGAATCCAGAAAAAAACTAATCAATGAGAAAATTATTAAATGGAAATGTTCTGGAAACAAGATATTTTTAAAATGACCTGTTCTGGTGTTCTCAATGCTGAACCATAGAAACAGCTCCAGCTTTAAATGGCCTACATGTATGTTTTTGCTATAGCTACATATACAGCATTAAAATTAGCTGAAATTACCTACGCAGGTAACACAAATGTTGTTGATTAATCATCAATTTTTACATCTCTAGCAGTAGAATGCAATACCAATTATAATTCTTATTTAGCTTCTATATTTGTCACTGCTTTTCTACCACTAAGGCTTGCATGCTAACCAGGTGGCTTCAACCTGGTTGGCCTGTAGCGTCCAGTTTGCCCTGGAGAAGTATTACTGGCTGAAGCTCTTGGGCGACCATCCCCACAAATCGAGAAAACGTACACATAGCACCTTTAAGCCTACTCTGCCATTTTCAATCATACATTCTTCAATATAAGAAAAGAGAGATATTTTCTGCTGGAAATTTGGAAAGAACTGAGAAAGGTAAAGCTGAAACTAATTTGCATTTGAAACAAGCAAATCTGTCTGCTTTCTCATTCGGTGTTAGAGAACTGTTCTATAATAACTGCCAGCTATTTCCTGCAGTGTGAGTCAGTCGGTCTTCAGTCCAAAGAGCCAAATGTACTAAATCAATGAGACAAGGTGGAGACATAAAATTCCCTGACACCACTCTCATTCATGAATGAAAAGTCAATAAAGAATTAACAGTATATTGGTGGGAAAAAATATTCAGTTACATTTTAAATCGATGGTTTTTATCCACAATGAATATTAAAGATTCTGGTGCATTCTGAGGCAAATCCAAGGCACTGCAACAAGCAGACAGCGGGGAGCTCTGATGCCCCATTGGTTAATACCGCATAACCACAATGTCAACAGTTTGAATCCCAGCCAAGAGGATCTTTGTTGCTTGTCATATTCGTCTCTCTCACCGTTCCCTGCCTCTCTCACCATTCCCTGCTTCTCTCTCTCTACACTGACTAGCAAATAAAGCCAATAAAAGAAATGGCTGTCAAAATACACAGTTTCCTTATTTTTCTCCGGCATCTGTGGAGAGCTTTATTTTAGGAAATCAAGTCTCCAGTCATGTCTTTTAATGTAGCGCTTCTGAATCCACAGATTTCAGGAACACAGCCAAGACATGAAGGAATACATTGAGAGAACATTCTGTCGCATGTTCACATAATGTAAAATTACACTTTTTCCAGGACAGGTGCAGAATAACAGCAACACAATGGGTGTAATTCAGACACAAACTTCCCTGTGTAAAGTGAGGTTTTCTCACACTCAGTCACCATTCATCACAGCCTCTGTGGATGTAGCCCAACCTGTTTAAACACGTTTCAGACTGTAGGGACCATAATCAAGCTAATGTCATCATTTGTCCATATTCAAAGCCCAGGATGACGTTTGATTAAATGGGTTGGACAGTCACTTTTAAGAGAACAGGTACTTGTTTAATTTGCATAATCTAGTGACAATACAGGGATAATAGTATTATGCTAATTATCAAAATGCATTTAAGCAACTCTGGCCTTCTTGTTTTCTGTCAAAATAGCAAGTTTACTCATTAATTATACATAAGAGAAGACAGGGATGGATTATTAATGAGCTCGACTAGGGACCCCCCCCCCTCATGACAATTTGGGTCCCTTGTCCTCAGCTGGAAGTCACTGTCACATTTCTGAATGTCAAACAAACAGCCACAAAGAGATGTAAAGGGTTCAAGGACAAACATGATGAGTGCAAGGAGAAACGACCACAGAGTCGTGCCAAATGACCAAAAGCTAATTAAAAATACATCCGACATTGCAATGATAAGACAGTTTATGTGTTATAATGACTGTTTATGTATAACACTTCATCAGCTTTTATTGTTTAAATAAGACACTTCACTAAAGGCATTTAACTCAGAACTGGACTTCAATAAAAAATTCTGATAGAATTATTACTAAAGCAATAACACCACAGAATGACAACAAATACATACAACATGTTAAGAGACAAAAACCACACAATGCAGCCTGTCCTTGACTATCCTTGTATGAGTGTGTGTGTGTGTGTGTGTGTGTGTGTGTGTGTGTGTGTGTGTGTGTGTCTGTAAACATTACTTCACCTTACCCGTATTGTCTTGAGTTGTCGCTATCAACCTGTGGGGCACTCGAGGTGAGACCTTCAGCCCTGCTCGCACCTGGTAGAACCTGAAGAGGAGGAAACAAAGACAACAGTTGAAACAGCATGAAATAAATAAAATACTATACTTGTTGGTATTTCAGGTTCCTTGAGTACAATTGTTGTTACACTAGATTACTGCCTCATAGTTATATGCATCTGGCAACCAGCTGCATTTTGCATCTATGTCTCTCACAAAATTTAGGTAGTGAAGATTTTAAAGGAATTTTATTAAAGGTATTTTAAGTATTTTTTAACAATTAGCTTATAAATGGTAAGGTTACATCATAAAAAATAAAAGTCACTGTGACCTTTACCTTTGACAGTGGCCCAACAAATTCTAAGCTTTGACCACTAACTTCTTATCACTTCATCCTTAAATCCATTTGAAGCTCTGTGCCAGATTTTAAGATATTCCCTGAGATATCGTGTTCCTGAGAATGGGATGATACAAATGGATGGACAACCAAAAAATATAGCAAAGGCTGTTGGAGGTGCAGAGGCATAACAAAATATTATTTTGTGCATTGGTCCTGGCATTGCTAATTTACCCCCATAGTGTGAGTTCACTTGGAATTCTACTGATGTGTCTTGGTGGAATATGGGATCATGTGGCACCAACATGACATTAATTGAAATAATAATCCTAACAAGTGTATCTTCAAAGCTTCAGGAGTGGTCTCCAAGACACGGATGACAAGTTAAAAATGTCATGTAAAATAAAATCAGTTATGAATTGTACAAATGTGGCTAAATTATTCAAAGCTAAAGGGCAAATGGTTATTAATAATTAAAAAGACATAATAATGCTCCTCTCTTCGAAGGCTGTATATGAGCACTGGGTGCTGGACTTCTACCATGCTGGCAAACATAATTAAGGTAAGATGAAAATGTTTTGGGACAATTTGGGAAATGAAAGTCAAAGGATTCATGAGACTGAAAACAATATCAGCGCAGTGCCATAGAAGAGGTTGACTTCTGTATGGATTATTTACAACACTGTCCAGACATTGGGCGGTGAGTGAAATGCTTCTTTAAAAAGGTCACATTGACAGTTCAGACCAATTCAGCTTCGTGTAAAAGCACATCTCAGCTCCCTGGGGACACATCGACAATCTGAGAAACTGAAGCATGGCCGCGAACACGGTAATAATCAGTGCGTTAGCGACAGCGCACCTAAAGATGGAGACTTGACAGTGAAGAGCATGGAAAAAGGTTTTGAAGGGTTGATAAATAAGTAAGGGCTGTTTATGGAGTGAAATAGGTCAACTCTGTGGCTAGTACCTGGTCAGAAGCTAATCCACAAACCTCTTACAGCGAACATACTCACATCTGTGGGACCACATTTACAATAATTCTAGGTAAATAAATGCTGGAGTACAATGAAACTAATCAGTGGTTTGGCACATTTGCGATGTAATAAATTGCAAGAACCAATCTAAGACTTTGCCTCCATTAGTGGAAAGTGAAAGTGCTGTGCTCATTGGCGTCGCCTCCTTTACAAATCAAATGTAGATTTAATCTCTTTTTTTAAATGCAATCAGTCTGTAACTGGGCCCTTAAGTGTACAAGCTGTGGCCCCCTCGTCTGGTGCAGGGATTAGCATCCATCTCATCAATGACATTTTCTGTGTGAGGAGTTGTGTAGGTCCTGGTCACTAACTGTTCTTAATCCACAACTTTACATTGGGACCCAATTCTGTTTCGTGTTCACATTGGATCTGAGGGGCTGTCTGAGAGTAACATGGGAGCTGGTAAAAAAAAACAACCATATTAGTGCACTCAGCTGAAGGGATTACAGCCCAGCCCATTTGGAGAGGGGAAATCATTAAAGCTGGTGTTTCATAGACCACATGAGAGGATTTTAATCTTCCTGCAGACACATCGTGATGTTGGGATAAACATGGCCCTCGTTTATGTCACAAAATATCATGAAAAAAATTGAAAAAGTCAAAATCTTTACGTTATTTGGTCATTTTAACACTCCACATCAAACTGCATATTGATACAGTCTATCGTGTGGATAGTTTGGACTCTATATGCTTGTACATTACATCACCGCTGCTTTAAGGGCAGCTGAAAATATTGTCATTCCTCCATTTTATATCTTTAAGGGCTTGTTATTGTACCACAAAAATAATAATCTGAAAAATGAATAGTTTTGGATTATGTTCAGGTTAAAACCAACAGAAAACAGAACTCAGAAAAAAGATGGGCCATCAGCTTCCTGTGGTTAATAAAGATTCTGAGGTGTCTTTCCA